TTAAGGAGATTTAGGAAAGGAAAGTTCACCTGGCCACCTTGCTGTGCTGCACTCATGCCAGTCCTGGAAAAGCTTCTCTAAAGAGGTCAGCCCTTTCAAACAATGTGGGAAATGACACGCGGAGGTCTTGATGAACAAGGACACAAGACTTCTTTATCTTCTAATCAAAGCCTGATTTGGAGGAGTATGTTTGTTTCCCATCAGCTCTGCTTCCCGTACTTCTTACCATCTTGTTTAGATCTCCACGCTTCACCCATGTGGAGAGGTGTGGAATGGGAAACTTTCCTTCTAACTTCAGATCTGAGTACGTGAAGATTAGGAGGTGGGGAGGAGTCGGTGATAGTTTCACCACCAACAATCCGTTTCCTAGAGCAAGGTGGGCAGATATTCTTGGACTGCAGCTCCCAGTTGCCCTACAGAATGTAGCCAATGGTGAGGAAAGTTGGGAGTTTCAGTCTTACAACACCTGGAAGGCTAAAATCTGCCCAGCCTATCCAAGAACAAGCTTTTATTTAACTGGTCAAGAGCTCCCTATCTCTGTGTCAAAAATCTCTGTCTAAACACTGATAGGGTTCCATGCAGAAAGTGGCCCCATCACCACATTTGCCTGAAATCATTCATCCAGTAGGGGCCACCATCAAATTGTCACCGGCAACATGGCCATGCAAGCCAAAGGACAAACTCGCTATCCTCTGATTCTTTGCTGGAACTGCTTTTTACATTTATCCCTTATTTAAAAAGACTTGACTTTTTTATTATCGGAAATCCTTTCTAGCAAAAATACAGGGCAGTTAAATATAACCTCTAAGCCTGCCAAAGTCCAATGCAATAAGGAAAGTAACTCATCCCCTCTTCTCCAGCTTACTCACTCTACTTGTGCTGATTATTTATCAAGTATTCATAGCGAGCCTGGCATGTCAAAGTTTGGAAAAGACAACACTGTTCCTACCACCTGTAAGACAGTTTTGCAATTCAAATAGATAAAAATGGAACCATCCAGGGACACATGGAGAAAGACCTTAGTAAAAGCGTGAAGCAAAGTGTGCTGCTTATATACCATCCTGTAGTGTTTAAAGCACTCTCTGGGCAGTTTACAGTTTTTTTATGCAGGCTATACATTGCCCCTCACCACAGGAAAGTTGAATACTCAATTCGTTGACCTTAGAACGATGGAATACTGAGTCAACCCTGAACCGACTACCAGAGCTCGTCAAGATGGAACTCAATTAGTGAACAGAGTCTTAACTGCAGTAGTGCAGTTTAACCACAGAGCCATAAAGTTCCTCAAGCACAGGACAGATTTTCCCTTCTCCTGACAGTTGCATGTCCTGTAATCTTTAGTGCCCTCATTTGTTCCTCTGGGAGGAACGTGATTTGTCCACTCTACTTAACAACCTGGATCCTCACACTCCTGAGTCTATATCATACAGTCTTTGAGGCTCTCTGTTTATTTTCCATCTGAGGAAATGGCTAAAGGTTACACAAACATATGCCATACCTTGTTTGTCTTTTAAGATGCCACCAGACTCCTTGTTGTTTAAATGCACCAGTGTGTAACATGGCTTCCCTCCCTGTGTGGCTCATATACTTCTGCATTTTAATTCATAAATCTTACATTGTGCTGAGGAAGCCTTGTGAAGAATAGTGCGTATCAGAGGGAAGGGACAACATAGACACAGCGACAGATCTTTTTTGCTCTTGTGCAGGAGCCACAAACAAGCAAATGTTTATTGCCAAGTTTCCTGATGTGGTGTATCAAGTGCAGAAGGTGAAATAATGGGGTTTGATTTTATAATTTTAGGAGGAGTGGGATCTAGAGTTAGGAAGGATTATTTTTAACAAATTGTTGGATTTACAGTGTGGCTACATTTATTTACTAATAAATTAATTAATGGAAGAGTATTTATGAATATCCCTAAAGATTTAAAAGTCTTGGACAAGAATAATAAAGCATGTGATGAGAAATTATATGGAAACTCAGTATTAGGGTGGACCTTATCTCTGGATGAATGTGCAAAACACACTGGGGGAATTGTGTTGTTATGGAATAATTACAGGGTGGAACAAAGAGTTGCTGGTTGACTACAGGTTCTTCGTGTTCCATCCAGTAGTCGTGGGGTTAAAAAGTATTCCAGCTGGAGAAACAGTCCTTTGATGTGAGGAAATGGAAATAAAAAAGGCTGCACTTCTAGGAATAAAGGGAAAAAAATAAACAGCTAGTGAACACCCTCCATAAAGACTAAAATCTTCCCTGGACCCTTCAACTACAGTCAACCCTCGACTTATAAACGTAATCAGTTCCGGAAGGAAGTTCGTAAGTCGAATCAGCATTTCCCATAGGAATGCATTGAAAACCAATTAATGCATTCCGGCTGCTTTTGGTTCTTAGGTCGAGGGGTGGTTTGTAACTCGAATCATTAGTTCCGGTTAATCCATTCCTACCACTAGGGGCAGAATTGTTTTTATTGTTTCCCTTGTAACCTAAGATGACTCAGGTTAAAAAAAAGGAAGGAAAAGAGGGAGGGAAGGAGGGAACATACACCTTTTCAACAGAACACCTTGAAAAGCACCTTTTCAGCCAAGACAAGCACCTTCTGGGAAAAACCAAGCACCTTTCAGACAACAGATCAGCTTGAAAAGCACCTTTTCAATCAAGACAAGCCAATGCAAGCACTTTTTTGGGGGGAAAAGGTGGAAAAGGGGGTAGCAAAGGAGGGAGGGAATGCCTTTTAAAAATCCAAAAATTAAAAAAAAGCCAAAAAAATAAAAATACAATCTGTACAGCGCTGTAGCAAGCAATACCAGGCAGTCTGAATGCTGTCTCCCAATCCACGCTCAAAACGCTGGGAAGAGCGAGGAAGCAGACAGGCACCCTCTTCACTGGCCAACAGTTAACTGAAGTTCAAATTTCGCGCTTTCCCACCTCCCGCGCAGTTCAAATTTCGCGCTTTCCTCACCTCCCACGTGTTTTTTGTTCGTAACTCGAATCTAAGTTTGCAAGTCGAGTCAATATTTTTCCATCAGAGCAGTTTGTAAGTCGAAATGTTTGTAACTAGGGCCGTTTGTAAGTCGAGGGTTGACTGTACTGAGGTGCTAGGAAAGCCTCAGAGTGAGGTCACAGTATGCTCTGTGTCGCCTCGCAGACTCTCCACCAGTCCTTGTGCACTGGCAGAAGATGAAATAAAAATGTGCATTGTAAGTGTTATCTCAGATCTGCATTCTAGAATTTTCTGTATTCTTTCTAATTTATCTTAGTTTACTAAAAACAAAAATATTGCGAGGACTGACTGTGTGTGAGAGAAAGGAAAACTGGATAAATGCTTATGCTCCTTGTGTATGGGCTTTGATTGGCTAGATCAAAACTGGTGTGCTGGGTTCTGCCTTTCCTCCCCCACACCTCCATCCTTTTTTCTTCTTTTGTGGTGTTGTGAGTCCTGCTGCTTGCTGGCCTTTGCACAACTACTGGAAGGGTGCATGCTCACTTAAGTAAAATCCTCTGGTCTACCACATCTTTAGAACTGATGGTGATTTTTGCTTCACACCTCCCATGTCACTGTTTTTCATGGGGATTTGGAAATACACAAACACTGTCAGGGACCTGAACCAGGATTAAGCTGGATCACCAGAAGAATACAGGATAGTGGAAGCACCTATTGGAAGTGTGCTAGTCATTTATTTTTTTTAACTCCAGCTCTCAGAATTATTCCTAGGCAGAATTCTAGGCCTTCTAGCCCATAGACAGACACATTTCACTCACCTGGAACAAGGCCTCTCCTCCAGGCCAGGCTGTACAAAAAGGAAACAGACCCAATGCTTCATGTGAGGCCTAGGTCTTTGTGGGAAGTGTAGTTTTTTTGGGGTGCACTCTATTGTTCTATACACCCTAATGGTGGGGGTTTGAAAGTGGGAAAGACAGAAAACACTGTGTCTCATTTTAGGATTAAGAGAGTTTCTATGAAAGTTTATCTGATGTACAAGTTAGAGATGAGTTTGGATGTTCCTATCAGGCAAATTATTGAAGAGTTTTGAGAGAAGCAAAACAAGAAGTAGACAAGAAAATAAATAACAAAAAAAATGTAGTATTCATAAAGCCAGAGAAATTTCTCAGGGGATTTCTGCAGGTTGCTATCAGAAAATATTGATGCTGACTGCTGAGCTGCACTCACTTTTAGTTCCATGGAGAATTCAGGGGTAATGAAAATATTCCCAAACAGGCAGAAATATTACTGAGATTTGGGACTCGTTTTGTTTCCAAACTGAAGGCAAAATTGTAGATCCCGTCACTTGTTAGGAGGAGGTACTTTTGTTTGAAGAAAAAAGGTATTAGAACTCAGTTGAACAGTTGCATAACTATTTACTTGGATTGTTTTTTCCAACAAGCAAAGTGTAACTAAGTTACTTTACTGGTGTAACTTAATGAGTGAAAATCTGGTGCCTTTTGTGATGTACCTGTAACTTTTTAGTTAATTTTCTACTTAGGGAGACAGGGCCTCATTAAATGGCAGATAACAGAGTGCTGTTCCTTTGTGCCGCATGCAGCTGCCAGGGGGTATATGCTGCTTGGTTAACAGCATATCCTCCATATTATCTTACCCAGGCTTCGTGCTCTGGAGAGGACACCCCAGCTTTGCATACAGCATCAAAGTCCTCCATACAGAGCATGTTACCATAGTCTCTCAAGACTGAAGGCCTTCTAGCCCATAGCTTATGATGATGATGAGCTGCCAGCTGATCCGCTGTGGCTGTTGAAGCAGTGATAAAATGGAGGAGTGAAAAGTCTGCTTTGTGCCATAGGCCAGCAGTTTGCAGCATTTAGTTTGGTTTTTTAAAAAGGTAACTAAAAGTAACTATTTTTGAGAAGTTAGTAATTTAAAAAGTCAATTTCAAAAAAATTGTGATTGTAATGGAGACTGTTTGCTAGTACTTTAGAATTACAACTTTACTACTACTAATACTTCTTCTTTTTCTTCTTTTTCTATTTCTTCTTCTTCTTTTCCAAGATCTGACCTTAATGAGAATGAGCACATTTCAATGAAGGATTCCACATGACCCTCACTGGAATATGATTGGAATGCAGCTGCAACACAGCCTTCCATTGGGGCGGTGCAATTGTATGTAAGATTGTTCAGGAATGCAGTAAATTCTGCTCAGTGGGGCATACAGTGGTGCCTCGCTTAACGACTATAATCCATTTCAGGAAAATCACCGTTAAGCGAAAATATCGTAAAGCGAACTTAAAAACCCCATTGGAACGCATTGAAACCCGTTCAATGCGTTCCAATGGGGTAAAAACTCACAGTCCAGTGAAGATCCTCCATATGGCGGCCATTTTCGCTGCCTGTATAGCGAGGAATCCGTCCCTAAACACAGCGGGGAGCCATTTTAATTACCCAGTGGCCATTTTGAAACCACCGATCAGCTGTTAGAAACATGTTGTTTTGCGAAGAATCAGTTCCCGAAGCAGGGAATCGATCATCGCAAAGCGAAATTCCCCCATTTAGACCATCGTTTTGTGATCGCAATTGTGATCGCAAGAAGATTGTCGTTAAGCGGATTCATCGTAATGTGGGGCAATCGTAAAGCGAGGCACCACTGTACTCCAGGTAAGTGTGCAGTTAAGGAAATACGAAAAATTTGCTCCATCAGGTTTTTGTTTTTGTTTTACAGGAAAAATCAAATTCACCTGATCTGCATATCGAGAACCAAACACAGAAATAGATAGAGTATACAGCTCGAAATCATTACAGCCTTCTATGTATCTCTTTGACTACATATGCACATTTGAAAACTTGCACAAAAAACACTGTGTGTTTCTAAAACACACAGACACACTTTAGACAATGTAGAGTGAGAGGATATTCCATCAGGACCACCACCAGATATGTGCAGTGGCCTCCTGACCTGGACCATTAATGAGTAAGGATGCACAGATTGATGTCTAACTTGCCTTATTCCATTGACACTCCTTCCCTCCCTCTCTTCCTCCCTTCCTCCCTCCCTTGCCTCAGTTGAGTACAGTTCACTTTTTTTAAAAAAAATTCTTGGAGAGGTGATCTAGCACTAAAGTAGTATATTGATGCCATGACTAAGTACTAAACTCATCCAATTTTTAACAAAATCAGGGACACTTGTAGAACAAATCATGGGGGCAGGTCAACTGCCTACATCATCAGATTACCACCCAGAGGCATGCCTCCTGTCCTTTTGCGGAACAAAAGATCTGGCCATATGGGGGAAACTCTGTTCGAATTGCTCCAGCTTAAAAAAGTGGAAACCCCCACTGGCAGAGAAAAAAACACAATGCCACGCTCGGAGCAAAACAGGTCAGACTGATTTGAATTGACCTTTGTGTCATGTGACCAGTAGAAAAGTTCTGAATTCATGTTGTATAACTGGAGCAAATCCAGCAGTATTTGACCATGTAGTTGCATCCTAAGCTGGATAAGGAGGGAAAATGAAGTAAAGAACATCACAAAATGTAGCTAGCAATAACAACCCAAATCTTTCATTTCATCCTGCAGTTATATAATATGGAGGGCTGAGTTGCTGCGAAGGGATATATAGTACGCTGTCATCTCAATCTAAATGTTTCAGAGCACCTTAGTGATTGGAGTGCCAAGAATGCTTTTTGGGTTTTATTGATAGGTTCATCTGTCACTCCCCTTTGGTACCCAGTGAGTCTTGCTGGATACCCTGTATTACTTTCTATTTCCTCTTTCCGTTATGTTTATGGGCACATAAATGTTGGGCTGCATTCTCAAACAGGTCCAGTTCCAAAAGAGCAGTTGTCAGTGTCAAGCCGAAAAATCACGGTCAAATTGTAGGGGCCAGAGAAAAGCAGGTTGTTGGACAATGCTAAGTCATAAATTGTTCTGAGAAGTTGAGGCAGAGATGGCCACCAGCGAGAAGCTGTTAATACAGTGGTGCCTCGCTTAACGATGTTAATTGGTTCAAAAAAAGCGCTATGGAAAAACATCGCTAAGCAAAACACCATTCCCATAGGAATGCATTGAAAACCGGTTAATCCGTTCCAATGGGAACGGACTACCATCCTTAAGCGAAAATGGCAATAGGAAACATCGCTGAGCGAAACAATGTATCCCCCATTGGAATGCATTGAAGCCTATTCAGTGCATTCTAATGGTTTTGCGATGTCCGTTTTTGCAATTTTAAGTGTGTCTTAAAAGGTTCAAAAACGGTTTTAAATGCTTGGGATCGTTAGTGCACCTTCTAAAACGTGTGCAAACTTAATTTGGCTTTGTTGTGAGTCTTCGTTAATTTTTGGTGAATTTCCCCCCCCATTAAAATGCATTGAACCCGATTTTGACAGCTGTCAAACCTGCAGTTCAATGCTTTCCAATGGGGGGGGAATTCACCAAAAATTAACGAAGACTCAGAACAAAGCCAAATTAAGTTTGTACACATTTTAGAAGGTGCTCTAACGAATCCAAGCATTTAAAACAGTTTCTGAGTCTTCGTTAATTTTTGGTGAATCCCCCCCCCCCAATTGGAAAAAATTGAAATCAAGGTTTGA